AACCCACATTACGTGGGGCATTAATGCAGTAAACATTACGAAACACAAGCCGAACTGTTGTTGCTGAACTGACCCCCCACGGCGCATTTTAAGACTAAAAAAAAAAAAAAAAACACATACCATCAGATCCCGACCATGCTGGAGATGCATTAAGCTTGCTTGGAGGCTCCATGATCTACAAACAGCAAAGGCCCTTCACCCAACACACGTATCCAGTTACAGAGCTGTATATTCACTGAGTTTCCGGTTCTTCCCAGTGCTGCCTGCTGTCTACACACTGTCTCCATCTGTACTATCAAGGGTGGGACACTGACTGTACCCACAGCGGCTTTACCTCACCTGAACCATCCTAGCTGTCTTGGGTGTATGTATATAATGAAACATACCATTTGATCCAATTTAAATTAGCATTTTAGAGCTAAGCTAAAATACTCCACTCACTATGTCCTGTCCATCAACATTCAGCCCAATTGTAGGAGTCCCACATGGAGATCTCAGCAGTAAGGATAAAGCAGTACCATTTTCTCCAGAATCACAATGCATGCTAGGAAGAGTGATAAGGAGACCACTGAAAGTGAACTACTTCTCTGCATTAGATGCACTCCTGCAGTGTTTCTGCCTCGAAATGCATCACATTAAAATATGGTGGCACTACAATGGGACAGAAACACAGGGTGGCATTTCGGTATCAGGAGGGAAAAAAAAGAAAAAAAATCTACGGAGTGAAAAAGAATCATTTCTCATGCATAGGCGGCAATCTCTCATCTCGGGCGAAATCCCCAGAAACGGATTTTCCAAATGGACAGAAAACCTGAAATTGTGCGTGTTCAAAGATGTGTTATTTTCACATTTTAAACTGTATTACTGAGAACAACATTTATGTTTTACACTATTGCAAAGCAGAACACGAACTGTGCCCTTCATGTTAACATCCCTGTACTAAAAAAGTAAAGTTCATCAAACACCTCCACAGTTGATGCTAGTTCCTCCCCAGTTTACATCACATAAAAAAACCCAACAAGAATTGAAGGCTCAAAAATCAGATACTGGGCACAGAAAGAAAAAGTCAAACACACCATACAAATCCTTGCATTTGCAAATACGGTCACTGCTGCCAAGTGGTGCTGACAGACCCTGCACTCGGAATACACACAGATGTAACAGGCTCTGTCCTCCCGTTCAAACAACACATGCTGAGTAGGGCCTATCCAGGAACACACAGCAGACACTACAAGATGCAAATGTCAGCTCTGGATGGTAAAACAGCTCCAAATCACCCCATTTTCCAATGTGCAAACAGGGCGTTGTGAAAAATCACCCCCACAGAGCAAGTGAGGGACACTGTCATTTACCAATACAGTTGCACAGCACAAGGACAAGCCAAGAGCCACAGAACAGGTCTCTATTTAAGCTAGTGTTTGACACTCCTGTACCCTCCATAACCTTCAGTCACTTTTGAGATTGGCCCTTACAAGGTGCCAGGTCTGCCCTCCAAATCAGTGACGAAACTACACAGTGACAGCACGACGTCGGTGCAGTCACCACAATCCCCTCGGACAACACAAATTCCTCAAATTAGACTCCAGTCTGAACGAACACACACACACACTTCTGGGAAGAGACCTACATATTTCACACACAATACAACCAGATGCGGAGGCCACATGCTCAGTAAATTCTGCACCATCAGTCATGCACATACATGCATAAATGTTCAGAAACCACTTATCCAGTTAAGAGGGGCAGTGATCCAAAACCAGCCGGGGAAAGAGCTCTGAGCAGGTTGCTCGCATCCAGGAAAGGACACCCGTCCATCACTCCAAATCATTCTCGCATACTTAAGATTTAAACACCACTGATCATCTACCTACCGATTTGTGTGTTATGCGCATCTACAGATGTTAGCAAAAGGATTTTTTAATTTGCCCTCTGCATCACATATAAACAACTACTGGATCTTAAAATATACAACCAAACTTTCCTAACTCAGAGAGCAGTATGAGATGTGTGAGAGGAAAACTTTACAAGGATGATATTTTGAATTCAGAGGAGATAAGTAATAAATTTTACTGGGCAACTGTTCAGGAAAAAGAGCTAACAGACTGCCTACTAATCTTTCTCATAATCAAGGACATCTGAAATTGCAGGATTTCTGAAATCAGACAGGCAGGGGGAGACTGGTATACACTGAGTGACATTGGGATATTGAGGTCCAAAAAAAGGGTCTTCCAAGACCCCCCTCCCATCCCAGAAAAACAAAAGGCTGTTAGCGTAGCCAAACCAGTCTACGCTGGAAAGAGGAAGCCTAGCTGAGCCAGCACACCGCATGGAGACGGAAGCAAAACAAGATCCTTGGAATCATGGACTTCATTATGGGACGTGGGGGTGAGACACTGACAATGAGTTCTGTATTCTGGACAGAAATGTAATATCGTCACGTGCACATATCCCATCAGCCAAAGACGACTTCCTTTGGTCCCATCTACTTCGCAGGAACCTTAGGGAACAGCAAATGCCCACTGTCTGCGTCTCTCTCACACACAAAACAGGGGATTTCATTAAACTGCGCAGCTTCTACTAACACAACACAGGGCTTTTCGTACTAGAGTTCATGTTTACTCTAGTTTACTGCCGAAAAAAAACAGAAAGCGTTAAACAGCCACTTTTGGCCAGATGGTATTTTTGTTTGTTAAAGCTAGCTGAAAGAAAGCAAAGACTTATTACATGAGTCTATAAACTCTTCCAAAGGGGCAGTCCAAGTGATCAACCTGCCAGCAATTTGCGGAACTAATTCATGCAACATACAGAAACAGAAGCCTTGGGGCACCTAATGACAGAATCAATGTTGTTTCTATGCATTTACTTCTGAAGCAAGCAGAACACACAAGCCATCACACACACACCACTGATGGTATGTTTGAAGACTCATTTTAAATGACATGCCGTGGGTCTAGGTCCAGTAACAGAAAATCCAAGTGAGCCCCCTAGTTTAAACCATTGCCATTATTTTGTCAGATGAGCACAAAGAAATATCTGTACGTGTCCAGACAGTCAAAAGCTCTAGCCTCACCATCGCATCCTGAACGGCAACATCAAAAGCAGCATCGATCTGATACAACAGCAGAAGAATACCTGTACATTTCGATATACCAGACACACGTTGGATACAAACAAGAACATAAGGAGCGAAGATTTCCAAAGACCATCAAAAAGGGAGGGAGGCTGCTTCTCTCGTGTAAATGTTTAATTACTTCAAGAAAAAAAAAAAATCACCATCACAGGGTTCACTGAAATTTTAAAGCTTGCTGAACGACTACTGTAAACTCATAAATAAGAGCACCAGCAATACAGGCTTAGTCATACACTCATCCATCCATTTTCCATAACCACTTCACCCAATGCAGGGTCATAGTGAGCTTGGAACCAATCCCAGCAAGCATAAGGCATGAGGCAGGAAACACCCTGGAGAGCATGCCAGCCCACTGGAGGGAACACAACTGTAACACCTTAAAAAAGTTCAGAGGCACAGATCGACCTGAAGCACATCTCCTTAGAGCAGTCACAGACATCTCCTTAGAGCAGTCACAGACATCTCCTTAGAGCAGTCACAGACATCTCCTTAGAGCAGTCACAGACATCTCCTTAGAGCAGTCACAACAGTCCACATTTTTGCTTCCTTCCAGCTGGTAGGGAGCAAAAACTCGGGGGTCTCGTGGGTCCCCAAGGAGCAGGTTGAGAAACAATTTTGGAGTATAGGAGGAGAGTAGAGTCCAGGGAAGTGGTAAATAATGCTTCACATCAGAAAACCCAATAACTGGGAAGCTAAAAATCAGCTGACTGACATCAGTGATCAAGTGAGGGCCTACTTCTCAAACCATTGAAGAAAATATCTATAAGGTGACCTCAGCGCCTTGGGGGCAAAGTACTTACTTGTAATGATAGCAGGGAATGGTTCACACTCCACAAAGTAGAATCTGGATTATGTAATAATTCTCAAGTTGAATTATCCAAGGTCTGCAGAGATGTCCTCTCTCCTTACCTGCATATTAACCTTTGCTTCTATATTATTTTACAACGCATACAGGGTTTGAACGATATTCTTAAGATAAGTCACATCATTCAAATAATGTCTTATTTTAGTCATATGGGGCACTTATTTCACTAGTAATAATAGTTAAAGCTACTGGCTAATATTCCACTCAGATACACATACTATACATATTTAAGGTGTGGCAACCACATCACTTATTTCCTGTTAAGACTTAGATAACAGGTAAGACAGGCAGACAGTGTAGACGAGACAATATTTACGTTCACCTGGTGTTAATAAATCTCAATTTCATAAATTCATTGGCCTGTCTCTGTCATGGGACGCCCTATTATCCAAAGAAACGCACCATCCCCTGCTGTTATGAGCCATTTCGCCATGACAGAAAAGATGAGATCACTGCGACTAGCGAAAGCAGGAGAGTTTCCTTCCCACTGACCCGGTCACAGAACGCAAGCATCGGCGCGACAGGGCAGATCGGTTCTCCCCAGAAGCCCACCACCCGAGCCGGCAGCCAAGGGATATGCGGGACGATCTCCCGACACACGGCATCGTCATGGGACCAAAGAGGCAGACGGCGGCTGGACACCTCATGTCCTCACCGCACCACCACAATTCCCCGATGTACTCATGTGGGTCGAACATGTGTCACACTGCGACCATCCAACCGGAAGAACCGTCAAGTTCGCTCCACGCTTACACATTATAGGGGGGAAAACTGAAAAACTATAATAAAATAGCAGGCAACCCGAGGGAAGCCGAAGCGAGTCTGCTGAAAGCTGTCATCTTGAGCGCTGCATGCCATAACACTTTCACAGACCCGGGTGCCCGCTTATCACTTGGGCTGCGTCAGTCCAATTGAGGTAAACTAAGCGGCACCGATTTCGGGCTTCATGGCAAAAATACCAACACCGGAGCTACAGAAACTTAGCGAACGCAACGTCCTGTTTACCTTTCTGACGCCTTTGTAGATATAAAAGTAGAGCTCCCGGCCCACATTGAAACAGATTCTGTCGCCGTTGCCAGACTGGTCGTTGACGTTTACGAAGGAGACTTTGACCGGGTTTGAGCCCTGGGAGTTGAAAGGCACCCTGTTTGGGCGGCTGTATTCGGAGTGAGTGAGGAGTTTATAGACGCCTTCCCGGGTGGTGAACTGAGTTTTAATTTCGTTCATCTCCTTCCCTCCTCCCTCCGCCGCCATCTTGAAAATTAGCATTCATCCTGCCCCAAGCCCGGATCTTGCTCAGTGCGCATGCGCGCTCCTGGCTGAACGGTCCACCGATTCTCCTTCGCTTTGCGCCGTCAGCTGATGTTGAAGTTCACGTGGTACCTCCCTGCAAAAATGCATTTGGACCAAGGCGTCGTAATACTCATAAGTGACGCGACTGCCTAAGACGGACCAAAAACACATCTGCAACTTCACATAAGTTGGGATTTCCCTTAATTTGCTATGAAATATTTAGCTAGCAATCATAAAGGTTATTAATAAAGACATTACAGCCAATGTTCGTTTTATTGTGCTTGTATACTGAAAAAGTTACGGCTTACTATAAAGTAGTTGACTTGAAATACTTTGCAAATGAGGGTTGAGATATGTTACAAAAAAAATAAAATATTAAATATATTTTCGTGCGAAATTATTCGTTTTAAGAAAGCCTTCGTACCAGCGGGTTTCCCGGCATCGTTTTAACAATGCCGCCACCTAGTGGATTGATGTTTTTTTTTAGTCATAAGTTATGCGTCCATACCCTGTCCAAAAACATAGATACAGTACATAAAGTATACAGTTCGATTAACAATCTCACGGATAAAGGCCGTTTAGCTATCAGAATTAAGTTAGAGTGATATAATTTGGTTATTATACTTTTATACTTTAATATAAAAAATAACTTACATTGCTGGGCAGAAGTCTCAGGCAGTCAAAGAAAATATACTGTAGGTCATCGTCTGGGTTGTGTGTACAGTATTTGTTCAGGAAAAAAGCAATCATTAGAATGTATGCAAATTAACCTAATTAAGCAATTAAATGAATGAGGTATTGATTAGCCAGATAAGGTGAGGTAGTAGTCCAGCCAAAACGTGTGAATATTGGGCAGTTGCTGCAAATACTACTGATTTTGGCTGACACACTTCGACTGAAGTATTGTCAAAGTTATACACCAAGGTGAAGATAATTTTAAACAACAGTTTCAGTACTTCTGCACAGCATTGTCTTTCTTCACTTTATTAACTGAATACATTTAATGAAACTAATTTGCTGTCATTTGGGATCATATTTGTAAAAATGTATTGTTAGCTATTATAAATGAACTATAACAGTGTATTACAAGACACATATTACTCAGTACAGGGCATGAACAGACTATGATTTTTTTTTCAGAACCCAAATAAAATACACAAAATGGTTGCAAAACATGCTGCTGCAGGCTTTCATAAGAATCGGTTTTCAGTATGCTCAGTAGGATTATTGTCTAATTACAACCAGTTCACAAGTTCTGTACCTTTTCAGAAATGGCTCTTCTGTGAATCGGCTGACAAGATCATTTCAAATATTTAAATTTTAGATATTTCAAACCAGATGCAAATAGAGTGTAGAGTACTCACTGAAATGTATTTGGTTCCTAATGTCTGGAAGTTCACTTCACAAGGATGCATAATGTGTCATCTTGCTATTCATCTGGGAATCCCTGTTTAGTATTTTCTGAAATTTCGAATACCAGTACTCTAATGTCTGCTATGCAGAATCACTGTAAATGTCATTGAGAATGAACAAAAAAATTAACAAGGTCTATGATGATTTTCGCGCAGGAATGACAAGGCCTGTGGATTTACATCTGAATTTATTCATGTTTTATAAGCAGAATAAATTGGTTGGCATAACCATTTGCCATTCTAGCACTCACCTCGTGTTCGTCCCTCAAGAGTACATATTAATCATCTTAAATGTCATAGTACAATGAGTAAAAACAGATATTTCTGGTTCTCTTAAATGCAAAAGAAAAGAAGATGACAAGTATTTTCCCGTGACCACAAAGATGTAAAAACGCATAGACGCTTACTCTACCGGCGTAATGACCGGATTCGTATCCTGCAAACATGCAATTTATAGCTCAATGATTGCGCAATGCTACCTGACTTCTAGAACCCTCCACAAGCTGGTTTTGCCCCCTCTTGTGGCCAGATCAGTAAATGACAGCTATGAACACATTCTCGATTTATCACAGAAATTCCAGTCTTCTCTATGTCACATAAGGTCAATGACTACACCTGAGAAATTATCATCAATTTTAAAATACTACAAATTTCTAAATCAGTTTATATGTGGTGGTTTTGCTATTTGTAGTGTTTTCAAATGTGGAATGAGTCAATTAATATATTATTGTGGAATCTTTAAAATTCTGTTTATTAATAATACTTTTATGACATTGACAGTACACCAAGTACATCAGCTTGTTCCATGTATTATTGGTTGAAAACAAATCCCTCAAGTTCATTGCCAGTTTAAAAGTAATATTTCATATAACAAATTAAAGCTTTTGTAATAAATTAGAAATGCCTCTATTTAAGGGAGACTGTCCATAGTGGTTGGAAACAAATCCATCAAGAATATTTTGTATATTAGTTGCAAGCTTCATATTAAATAAATTGGAAACTTCTTTATTTTAGGGAGGCTGTCCATGTTCTGGCACATTGTGTAGAGATGGCACGTTATGACACCACACATATCAAGCCAACAGCCTAAACTCGTGACAGGAGCCAGATTGGCAGGCCCCCCTGTCAATCTACAGCCCTAAAAGGGCACACAAGGGCAGCTACACTTCTGTCCTCCTTCAGTTCACAGTTGCTTTCTTTAGGCTTCTCTTCCTTCTGGAACTCTCTGCTTGGGAGTTACTAGAAGGTCCATCAAGTATAAAACAAGTGGCGGTGGGCTGCAGGATTCAGGCGACTGCAGCTACAAACTGCATCAAGTGAGAAACAGAGAGACAACCAGTGAACACATATCAACTCTTCCAGCACACTTTGCAAAGGTAAGTCTTTGGGCATAAAGAGGATATACATAAGAACTAAAGTACAAATCTCTCAGTGTCTTGCCTTGAGACATTGCTTTATGTTTGCATTTTGCAAAAGCACTTTATTTATATGTTTTTGTTGATTAACACCAAATTCAGGTAGTTTAGTGATGTACAGACAGTCTGTCGTTTACATTAGCATTGCCAGTTGAGAGTGGAACCTTGGACTGAGTGATGTAGAAAATGTATATAGAATAGCTCACGCTAGCTACGAATGCTGGATGAGTCTCTAACAGAGAGAGGCATGGACATTGAATTATAAGTGTATGTATAAAAATATAGAAATAATGGAAAGACCAGCTAAGCTTAGGTTTTGTTTTAGATGTGGGCATAAATGGTCTTCCATGAAGGAAGCATACACTTTTCTAATATTTGGCCAGCTCTTAAAGCACAGATATAGAGGCATTGCTTTTATTTCACAATGTGACATTAGCAGCCCAAAAGATCGTTTTAAATGGATGACTAGTATTCTGAAGTAATTTGTACTGAGACACATGGGTTTATATTACACAATTTCAGCTGCTGAAATCTGAGCGGCGTACAGTGGCTAACCTGCCTCTTGCAAGGACAGAATAGGCCTTTGGAGTTTGTGCATGTGCATGGCTGTGAGTTCTATATGTCCCCCTCTAGTGGCCATGGTATTCCACTGCCAGACATCTCTTTTTAATCTCTATTAAGTATTAATTCATTAAAGATTGTTTAAGCATAATAGGAATTTATATTCAAAAGTTATACATCATTTATATCTGCCAACTGTTCATACAGATGCCAGAGAAAGCCGACCAACCCATGGAGGAGGAGGTGGAGACCTTTGCCTTTCAGGCAGAGATTGCTCAGCTGATGTCCTTGATCATCAACACGTTTTATTCTAACAAAGAGATCTTCCTCAGGGAGATTATCTCCAACTCGTCAGATGTGAGTATATTGAAAAATGAAGATCATTGAAACGTTCATAATCTATATAAGTACTTTAATCTTAGGCATGCTGCAATGGTTCAATTAAATGATAACTACTATAATATCATTTATTTATTATTATTGCTCTATTTTACACAGGCTCTTGACAAGATCAGATATGAAAGCCTGACTGACCCCTCCAGAATAGAGTCTTGTAAAGACCTGAAGATTGACATAATCCCTGACCAAGTAGCACGTACACTGACCATAGTAGACACTGGTATTGGGATGACCAAGGCTGACTTGATCAACAACCTGGGTACGATTGCCAAGTCAGGAACCAAGGCCTTCATGGAAGCCCTGCAGGCTGGAGCTGACATCTCCATGATTGGCCAGTTTGGTGTGGGCTTCTACTCTGCTTACCTAGTGGCAGAGAAAGTAACTGTCATCACTAAGCACAACGATGACGAGCAGTATATGTGGGAATCGGCAGCGGGCGGCTCCTTCACCGTAAGACCTGACAACAGTAAGTTACAACCTAAATGATAATATCTACTTTCATATAAATTATCATCAGCATCTGTTTGGTTCACATTATAATACAACTGTTTCCAGGTCAGCCTCTTGGTCGTGGGACTAAGGTTATACTCCACCTGAAGGAAGATCAGATTGAGTACACAGAAGAGAAGCGTATCAAGGAGACTGTGAAGAAGCACTCACAGTTCATTGGCTACCCAATAACTCTTTATGTGAGTGCCCAGAACAAATAAGAAATCAATATTTGTGAACAGGAACCAACAAATTGACAATCAAATGATTGTGATTTCAAGAAATTTCCCTTGTTTTCATTAGGTGGAGAAGCAGCGTGAGAAGGAGGTAGATTTGGATGAGGGGGAGGCTGCTGAGGAAGTGAAGGACACAGCAGAAGCAGAGAAGGATAAGCCTCAGATCGAGGATGTTGGCCCGGATGAGGATGAAGATACAAACCAGTCAAAAAATAAGAGGAAGAAGAAGGTAAAAGAAAAATACATTGATGCACAGGAGCTGAACAAGACTAAGCCCATCTGGACACGCAACCCAGATGACATCACCAATGAGGAATATGGTGAATTTTACAAGAGCTTAACTAATGATTGGGAGGACCATCTGGCTGTCAAGGTGAGGATTTCTTGTGTTTTATTTTGATAATAGTTGCTCATATAAATTTGTTTATAAGTACTTCACTTACCATATCAGCTAGTTCTTTCCTACATATGATCATCTACAAAATGTTTGACTTTCTTTTGCAGCACTTCTCAGTGGAGGGCCAGTTGGAGT